CTCTCTTAAAACCTCAGTAATGTGTTGGAATATGCAGGATTCCTGTGCGCCCAAGGTGGACATTAATCAGTGCTACTGAACAAGCTGCTGAGACTTACTGCTTAATTAGAGCATGTGCAAAGCTGTTTGTCACGGCTGGCAGAGGCACGGAGCCCCACGCTGGAGGAATGGCCAAGTTCAGCTCTGGAGCTGCTCCTCTGGGCCTGCTGCAGTTTGCAGCCCTTCAGCTTGTTCAGAGCAGGCAGGAGCTCCACCTTGTCTCTCTCTGGGTATGGATTCATCAGAAGAGCCAGCCACAGAGTCATCAAGGCTGGAAAAGCCCTCCAAGATGATGGAGTCCAGGTTTTAACCCATGGTCACACTGCACTGTGTCCCCAGGTGCCACATTCACCTGCGTGGGGTGATTCCACCCCTGCCCTGGGTGCTTTGGGTGCGTGATGGAAGGGGTGGATGTTTCAGTTTTGTCTCCTGACAGTGCAGGGCCATATCCTGGGTTGTTCTGTGGAGCTTTAGGAGGCAGACTGACCCTGAGGCTCAGTGTGTTCCACACTGCCATGTCTCAAACCCGTGCTCTGATCCTGCCCTGGAGCAGATGCTGGGAGCCAGCCTGTGCCAGGGCATCCAAGGGAAGCACTGCAGACTGGTTTTACTGCAGGACTTTACAAGAGTATTAGCTAAATTGAGTTGACTTAATAAAATCTTGAAGCATTCCAGAAAGATTGTGAATTCATTAAGGCCACAGCTGGACAATCTGTTCCCTGTGCTCTGCCATGGCTGCTTACAGCCATTGAGGAGTGCTGTCATTTACCTTTTCTCTTTCATTACTGCAAAGCTATTCCCCTCCCCCAAGATTTTTTTTTTTCCCCTGTCAGAGCTCGGCTCTGGGGAAATTAAACAGCAATTATTGTGTTTGCTCACTGTGTTATACCCTAACAGATACTTGAAGGGAAGTTGGTGTGTGTGTGATTGCACAGGAGCTGTGCTGCTGCAGGGCTGTCAGAACCCTCCTGTCCAGGGATGCACACCCAGCTTAACCCTCTGTGTGCCAGGGCAAGACTGAGCACAAACACAGCTCAGACTGTGGGTTTTACATTTGAAAAATGCTGATAAGAGGTAGAAAACCAGGGCTTGCTGAGGTAGAGGGGCTGCTCTGGTGGGGGTGATGTGCTGGGGGAAGGATCGAGCTGGCAGAACACAGGTGAGAGTGAAAAGAGTGGGACAGGCAGGGTTAAGCTGGCAGAACACACAGGTGAGAGTGAAAAGAGTGGGACAGGCAGGGTTAAGCTGGCAGAACACACAGGTGAGAGTGAAAAGAGTGGGACAGGCAGGGGAGAGGTGGCAGAACACACAGGTGAGAGTGAAAAGAGTGGGACAGGCAGGGGAGAGGTGGCCCTGGCAAGGACAGTCCCCTGCTGGGGCAGGTGAGGGCTGGAGCACTCCAGGTGTCAGCTGGGAACTGCAGAGAAACCTTCCTGAGCTCCTGCAGGAGGGACCTGAGCCACATCTTCCCGTGCAGAAATCATCTGCAGAACGGAGCTGAAAGGAGATGAAGTGTGACTTTTTTATATGCACCAACTCCGTGGGGTGAAATGGCCTTGGCAGGAGGAGGCAGGACTGGAGTCGTGAGCTGCTGAAAGCTGAACTGGTGTTTTCAGTGAGGAACATAATCCCCTCTGCCTCGTGAAACTTGGGAATGTAGGTGTTGTCAGGGAAATGTGCCGTTAAAAGCCTGAATAATGCTTCTCATTTTGCTTTATGTGTGTTTGGGACAGTTAATCAGACGTTAACATGGAAACACGGAGCTGTGTGTGCAGGAAGAGGGGTGGTGGTGTGTGAAGGTGAGGCTGCAGTCTGAATCCTGGAGGGGAAAGGAATGTTCTCCCCACAGTGCTGGAAAAGAAAAAGCTGGGCCTTGGAGTTGGTTTGGGAGGGCATTAACAGCATCTTGGTGGATGTGGCACATACAGTCACCCTAGAGGTTTCACCCTTCCTAATTAAGGAATGAGTTACAGCTCTTAGAGGGTGTCAGTGCCCCCTGAGCTGGGCCGGGTGGTGCAGAGGGATGCTCAGGCTGCTCTGCCTTGGCTTCGCTGTGTGTTGCAGCAGTAGCCAGCCAGCACCCAGAGGACAAGGACAGAGTGTTTGCAGGCTGGCAGGGCAGGCTGATGGCCTGGGAGCCACAAAAAGAGCTTTGGAGCAGCTGGGCCAGCCCTGCCCAGGCTGGCACAGCTCAGGGATGTGGGATGTGCTGACTGCGAGACCTTGTGGTGAGCTGAGGTGAGATCACCGGGAACAAAATGATCATTACAGGCCATTCATGTCAGAGCGTTCATGCCTCTCTGTTTGCTTGCAAGCAAAACCAGCAGCTAATTTGCAAGGCAGCCTTTTGTCCCAGGGCCTTTGATCAATGCTGGCCTGTGTTAATGTTTCAGGAGGCTATTGATTTCTGCAGCAGCTTTTGTTCCTGAATTTATGTGCCCTGGCTTTCAGCAGCACGCACTGTGCATGTTTGATTAAAGCTCATTTGACTTCCTTGCAGTGAGGCTGGAAGCTGTTTTTGCTCCCTGTTTGGGGAACCAAAGCTTGCCTGACTTAGTCCTTTGTGCTGCAGCCTGTGCCACCCATGCAGCCAGCAGGATGGGGGTGTGATGCTGCCAGGCTAATCCCTCGGGCACACAGTGACATCCTGGGGAGCCGCGTGGCTGAGGGGACCCTGCGTGGAGTTCTTGCAGTGGGGTACCTGTGTAACCTGGCATTCTGGGTGTGCTCCCCCTCTGACTTCCCTCTTGCTGCCAGAGCCCTGTGCTGAGTGCTGCACTTGTGCAGGCTGACCATGAACTGGAAGCACAGAGTATTCTTTACTCCTTGAATCTGTGCATTGTAGCTGGGGTAAGACTGGTTGTTGAATAAATAGACTTTGACTTCATCTTTATCCGTGTGCAGTTGTGACTGCACTTCTGAGCAAGTCTCGGGGGGGAAAAAAGCATTATGGTCACGAGGCTGGCATTTTCTATAAATACCCACAGTTTCTTTTTTAAAGTTTGGTTTATGATCTGCATGTATAAGTTGTTAAACTTCCCTTGGGACCTGATGGCTTTGCAGTGTGTAAATGGAGCTCTAATAGGTTCCCATTCCCTATTTTATGATGGGAGGAGAACAGATTGGTTCCTGCTCTGCTGTTGCCATGTGTCAGAGGACACATTAATTCACTGACATGAAGACATGGGATTTACTGACTTGCTCCTTGGTGCTGACACCTCAGATTTGATACAAATGAATTTATAGGTTAAAAAAAATGACTGGTTTCATTTGCCAGAGACTTTCTGCCTGTGCAGAGCATTGCAAAAGCCTCCCTGCAGAGCCCAGCCTGGCTCCTGGCACAGGCATAGCCCCAAGTGGACAAACAGCTGGCCTGGGTGGACTTTGAGCCCACTTAATGGGCTCAGGGAAATGGTATTTCCAAAGCAAACACGTGCAGGGAACAGGCAGGAGCAGAGCAGGGTGCTGGCCTCAGAACTGCTGCTCTGCCCAGTTTGCCATGAGCACTGTGTTCTCATCACCAGGCAGCTTCAGATCCTCTGCAGGAAACACATTTTTAATATTTTAGTAGGGCTTTAGTCCTTCAGAATCAAGAATTGTAAGTAACCTTTTGCCCACTTGCTCCTCCTCAGCAGCCATCACTGATCATATGTTATTTTAATGTGTAATACACAAACATAGTTCAGGTCCGTGGTGGGGATCAGCAGCATCATCCCAGTCTGTGGCAGCACAGATTAAAAATGATCTGTTCTGCCTGTTGCCAGAATGTGGTCGTGTTCTTTCTTCTGGGGTTTCTATTTTTAAATTAGGCACTGGTAAAATTCTTAAGTGCCTTAAATGTCAGCAGTTAATGTCTAGAACAACATCCTCCCTTTGTCTTTGGAGTGTTTCAGTGGTGCAGGTATTGGTTGTGGCTGTAATTGCTTGTTTGGGGCCCTGGGGAGGGTTTGGATTCAGGCAGGGTCGTTATTGGAGTTAACTCCTGCTCTGCCCGGAGCAGGGGCTGCAGGATTTCCCCACGGAGGCAGCAGGCTGAGGTTATTTGATCACATAAAACACAGTTCAAAGAAACCCTTTTTGTGGCCAATTCAGGTATGTTTGTTCTGATGTTGATTTTTTCAAGGGGCTGGTTAGAACTTCTCCGTTTTTCTCTTGCAACTTGAAAGCAACAACACCTTTTACCTTAGAGGCAGACAAGTCGCCAGGAAATGATGGGGTTTCAAAGTAAGAGAAAAGAGATTAAAACCACATGCTGTTCTTTGGTTCAGCCTTGCATCCGCAGGTTTGAATGGCAGCTGCTGCACTTCCTGAATGTAAGCCAGATTCATTATGCTGTGAAATTATCACTCATTTCTCTAGGTGTGCTCTTTTAACTGCTTAATTAATTTAGATGTGGGTATATATATTCAAATTAAAACACGATTTAGTGTGGTGGGGTTGTGTTACGGTTACAGACTTGTTGTTGAACATGTTTGTACTCAGACTTTTCAGCTCCTTACACAGGAATATTGAACAATGCCCGACTGTGGAGCGAAGGTTGACAAAATGGCAGAGTGTGTTTGGGCTGAGCCTTGTTCCCTCTGTGGACGGCAGGAGCTGTGGCAGGTTTGGGGTGGCTGGCAGAGGTGGCAGGGGGTGCTGACAGTGACACAAGGGCACCCTCTTCTGAAGCATCCAGGTGGAGGCTGGCTCCTGCTGCTTCCCAGCCTCTTTCCTTTCCTAGGGGAGGAGTGAAAAGGCATTTATTTACTTATTTTCCTCCTCTGTAAAAGCAAGCAAAAAATAATGAGGGTTTTTTTTGGTGTGTCTTACCCGAATAGTTCTTTTTTTCTGGCCGAAATCCATCGTGATTCTTCCTGGAAAAATCCCTGCGTGCCCGCAGCGAGCCAGGTGAGGCAGGAAGCTGACAGGTCAGGTTTGCAGTCCCTCTGACCCCCGTGTTGTGTGTTGTGTGCTTGCAGGGGGAGCTGATCACCTTCTATTACTACTGGAAGAAGACCCCCGAGGCGGCGAGCTCGCGCGCGCACCGGCGGCACCGGCGCCAGGCCGTGTTCCGCAGGATCAAAACCCGCACGGCCTCCACCCCGGTCAACACCCCCTCCAGACCCCCCTCCAGCGAGTTCTGTGAGTGCACACCGAGCTGGGCACCTGGCTCTGGGCAGGGAGCAGCCAGGGAGTGGTGCCACACCTGCCAGGGGACAGCGAGGAAATGGAGCTGGGGCAGTCAGCTCTCTGTTCCTGCGCCTTTCTGCTGGAATGTGGAGGGTGGCTTTGATCATTTGTGCAGTTCCTTAAACGTAAGAGCATCCTGTGAGGATGGAAATGCTGCCCTGGGACTGGATTTCCCTACTCTTTTTGTTGGTGCTGTGTTGTATTTTCTGCAGGCTTGTTACAGAAACGGGGATTGGAAAGCACAGAAAGAAGGAAGGAAGGGAGGAAGTGCTCCCTGCCTTTGGAAGGAAGTCCCTTCCATCCTTGTGGGTGACCCCTACCCTCTGCTGGAGCTCAGACTGTGCTGCAGCCAGCACTCTCTTAGGGATCTTGGAGGAGCACTGGCCTTGCCTGGAGCAGAGGTGTCTAACCCAAGAGCAGTTCCCCAAAGCAGTGCCTGCTGCTTGCACAGGGTCCCCACAGGGACAGAAACCTTTGTCCTTATGGGAAAGGTTTGTTACCCTGGCAGCTTTAAATCCTGCTAAACCCACAGGGCTCATGGAGAAAAGGGGCTGTGGAAGGCAGGTTGGCAGGTGGAGTATGTGGTGAGCAGGCAGGACACAGAATTCTATCCAGGGTAGAAGGGAAGGATAAAAATGAACGTGGGCAGGTGGAGGATGAACAGGCAGGACACAGAATTCTATCCAGGGTAGAAGGGAAGGAGCAGGAAAGGGCTGGGAGCTTTTCCGTGCTGAACTGGTAGGATTTACTGCTGGTCTCTCTGTGCACAGGGAGTGAGGGTCTGGACTCCACAGCTCAATCCAAGATACTCAGCATGTGAGAGCTTGTGGCTGGGAGGATGAGAATAAAAATTCATTTAGCAAAAGAAAGCAAGTGCTAGCCTGGGGTCAGCTCTGCAGTCAGGGTTTGAACACCTGGAAGTATTAATGTAGGAGTCAGGGCAGTGGTAGCTATTAAATGTAACCCTGTGTTAATTTGAAGGGTAACGAGTTGCTGACAAATGCTGATGGCAAGTGCTGGAGAATCTGTGAGCTTTAATCCATAAACTGTAACCTGCATGTACAAAACATCCTCTTGGAGCCTTAGAAAAACAGTGTTCCTGCATCAAGGACTTCTGTTCTAATTAAAGATTTGAACAGAAGAAGCCTGAGGGCTTCCTGCTTGTGCCAAATTATAGCCCTGTTATGTTGTGAATTTATAGTGGTGGGACTAGAAAAATGCAGTGCTCTCAAAAGGGAAATATTTACTCCTGAGGTGTTTAGAAGGTAAGATACAGTTTTTGTGATGTCTGCATAGTTTCAGTGGTTTAGATGCTGCTTTTGAGCTCATAGATGTGTAATCAGCTAATTTGCCACAAAGGAAAGGGACCCTTTGCATATGCTCTTCTTCAAAACATGACATTTTTGCAGTATGAGTTTGACACAGGTCCTGCATTAAGGACAGGAAAGCTGGTGTTAGCTATCCTTTAGTGCCTCTCATCCAGAAGGATCTCAAGATGTTTTTCAAACAGGTCCATGGTGTGTAAGCATTGATTCCTCCACCCACAAACAGTTGTACTGCTGGGTAACAAAACAAAAACCAGAAAAGACACTACAGGACCTGTTCATGGAATCTTGTAGGTTTTGAATATAGAATATTTGATTTTAAATTTGACCAGATTCTAGAGATAAATGTCTTTTCTCTTGAAAATTGTGGGTTTGGAACACAGCCTCTTGACCTCAGCATGGATGGTATTTGAATGACAGCTTACCTGGAAATGTACCACGTGCTGAATCAGAGATTCCAGGAGTTGCATCCCTTGGCACTTTCCTGGAATCCTCTTTAACCTGCAGCGTGATGAGGTCTGGCTTTGCTCAGTTTGAACAGTCAGAGACAACGGCCATGCAAGGCAGGGTGGGCGTGGGAAGTCACGATCTATTCTACTTACTGCTTATTTTAGCCAAGTAGGAGGAAATAGAAAATCCTGCTGAGTGTTTATTTTCCATTTTCCTCTTTCTCCCACCCTCAGTGGACCTGAGCTCGGCCAGTGAAGATGACTTTGACAGCGAGGACAGCGAGCAGGAGCTGAAGGGCTACGCCTGCCGCCACTGCTTCACCACCAGTACGTCCCAGTCCCTGCTGGCTGTCCCCTCTGCTGCTGCCTGGGGGGTGGGTTCAGCCAGCAGGAGCAGCTCCTGGGCTGGTACAGCTGTTCACACCAGTGTGGGGGTGAATCAGCTCAAACGTGCAGCGTTCCTAACAGAGTTAATCAGGCTTTGACATTGCAAATGAATACTGCGGTGACAAAGGAGAAGCCTGAGGTAGACATTTAGGCAGGAATAAATCTGCATAATCCATAATCTATGTAATCAATTTGTGACATAATGAATCAGTGTTAGGCTGTGGCTGTCACACACAAAACTTCCTGATGCTGCACCAAATCTCCTGTGCTTCAGCCCCCTTCCTGTGGCTGTTCCTGAAGGTGGCCTGATGCTGGGGCATTGGCAGCTGAAAGTGGAAGCCCCAGAATGGGAAAGGAAATAAGAGGTTCAGGGCTCACTTCCCTTGCAGAAACCACAGCTCTGAAGAACAGCTGCCTGTTAGCTCCCAGGTGGAGCAGAAAAGGTTTCTTTCTGTGCCTCAAAGCTGTAGTTTCTTAAGCAAGCAACCACAGTTTGTAAAAATTGAATATTGAGGATGCGCACTGGGACAGGACAAACTTTTCCAGAAACTTCTCCAACTTTGTTACCCATAGAAAAGCAGGTTTTTTTAGCAATTCCCTGTGTGTGTGCTGGTGTGCTCTGTGAGGTGCTGAGCTGTTGCTTTCCCTGCCCCAAGCCTCCAAGGACTGGCACCACGGGGGCCGGGAGAACATTCTGCTGTGCACGGACTGTCGGATCCACTTCAAGAAGTACGGGGAGCTGCCGCCCATCGAGAAGCCCGTGGACCCCCCACCCTTTATGTTCAAGCCTGTGAAAGAGGAAGATGATGGCCTCAGTGGGAAGCATAGCATGAGGACACGGCGCAGTCGAGGCTCGGTGCGTTTCACCCTCTTTGAGTGCAGGGCTGGAAGGAGCCAGAGCCCTGAAGTGCCCGGTTTGCCATGGGCTGTGCCTGCTCCTGCTGCCTGTGTGTGCCAGGGGGAGCTTTGCTTCTCTGCAAAAGGGAGATGGAATGTCCCTGCAAGCTGTGTTATCTCTGTCATCACTGGCAGTGGGCTGTCGCCATAAGGGGGCATTGACAGTGCATTACAGATCCTGTTAGTACATGTCCTCCTTCCAGCTGCATCCTCTCAGAGGTACAACCTTGGGAGGAGTTTAAAAAAATCAGATGGTGTTCATGTGGTCTCCTCGTGTTACTGGAGTTAAAGCCTCTTCCCTACAGAGGGCTCTGCAACCTCTGTGGTTGGTGTGCTCTGAGCTGTGACTCAGGTGGGGCACCAGGAGCCTTCCTGGGAGCAGCTCTGGGTGATTTATCTTGGAGTTGGGTGTAGCTGATGGAAAGCAGCAGATAGATTTCTTTTCTTGCCCTCCTCTCTCTGTCTTTCTGAACAGGATGATGTGACCATTGATTCTAAACACCTCGTGAGGCTCCACTCTTGGCGGGTGTTGGCTCCATTGCTTTTTTGGTAGTCAGTCCTCCAAAAAACTGCCAGAATGGCAGGGAAGCAGCATTAATTATTGAAATGTACTCTGCTGATCCCTTAGTGCATAGCAGGAGCATGCTGGAACTGGAAGTTTAGACCTTGGCCTTGACTGCCAGCAGATGGAGTATTTTTAATGGAACATGGGGGTCCTCTCCTGCCTCAGACACCCTCGTGTGTGCATTTCCTAAATGCCATTTCTAACAGACACTGCTGATGAAATAATCAACACTTAATGCTTGTGAGTAGTCAGATTAAGGATTTGCCTCCTTTGACATTTGAGTGCAGTTGGGTTTTGAAGGAAGAAGTGCAGCGAGCCGAAACGCTGCAGGTTTTTGCTGCCAGGCTCTGCCAGGGCTGTGCTCCCCGTGGCTCTGCCGAGGCAGAGCACTCTGGGGACCCTCTGAGTGCTGACCTGGGGTGTTGTCCCCAGATGTCGACCCTACGCAGTGGCAGGAAGAAGCAGGCAGCCAGCCCCGATGGCCGCGCCTCGCCCATCGCCGAGGACGTGCGCTCCAGCGGCCGCAACTCGCCCAGCGCCGCCAGCACCTCCAGCAACGACAGCAAGGCCGAGTCTGTCAAGAAATCCACCAAGGTAACCCTTCCCCCTGGGCTCTCCTGGCCAGGGCTGCACACCTGAGGCCTCTCGGGCAGGTACAGGAGGCTGGGGATGTCTCCGTGTCCCAGCAAACGCTGTGAGCGTGGATATGGCAGAGGTGGAGAGGGGCAGCCTGGAGCTGCTTTGTGCCTGGCCAGGGAGGGATGGGAGTGATCCAGCCTCTCCAGCAGCCCCACAGAACCTCCCTGCTCTCTCAGTAACGTAATCCCTCCACTTGGGATGCAAATGCAAGCATTAAGCTCAGGGGAGTAATGCAGATCAGAAGTGCTGAATTTAAGGCAGTAGACAGTTTTGGGGATTTTTTGTAAGCAGTATTTAATCTTTGTTTACAAAGGAGTATGAACATTTAGTAATTGAATCTGCTTCTGCTACTGTTTTTTCTGGAGGTGTGTTTGCTTGATTGTTCAGAGCAAGCTGACAGTTGAGTCTGTTCAAATGAATTGAGTGCTTTTCCAAGAGAGTTCTAAAGAAACAAAGCCACATGAAGCTGAAGGCTTACCATTAAGCTGTGTGAATTGAGAAGTAGCAAGTTAAAAATAAATATTACACACACAAAAAAAAAAAAGTCAAAATGAGCATGGAGCAAGTTTTCGCATTATAAAACTGAAAACTTGGCAGAATTTAAAGTTAGGTAATTATGTGATGCACAGAGCTTTTCCAGGCCATGGGAGAAGGTAGTAATCTCAGAATAGCTATTCACTGTTGGCCCTGTGTTTGAGGGGATCTAAAAATACTCCTCTCAAAATATCAAGAGTAGAGCAAGACTTTCATGTAGCAGAAGGAGGCTTATCCTGTCTCCTGCAGACATTCTGGCTCTGTCTTGCACCAGTTAATAACTGGTGTTGGTCTCTGTTGGGCCTGCTGTGAGTTCCTGATGGACTTGGTCCTGCCCAGCTCTCTTTAAAATATCCCTTCATATGAGGAATGCTTTATGCACTTTGCCTTTTTCCTACTGGTTTGATGTGTATTGGATTGCTCTTAAATACTGACTATGCCAACTCCTCCAAGGAGTTCTGCTGCTCCTTAATTTGTGTTAAACAGGGTGGCACTGGCCTACACTCAGCTTACTTTTGCATTTACCCCACTGGTAACTGTTGTGTTCTGTTTCCTTTGTGGCAGAAGATAAAGGAAGAGGTATCTTCTCCTCTCAAGAACTCCAAGAGGCAGCGGGAAAAGGCAGCATCAGACACGGAAGAGCCTGACAGGTCCAATGCCAAAAAATCCAAAACTCAAGTGAGTCCTACAGAGGAGTATTTCCTCTCAGGAGAATGGTTTGAGGTGGGGAGGGGGTGCAAATCTGGTAACAAACCAAAAACATTAAATCAATTTAAGCCACAGCAAATTGTAACTTAATCTGTGGCTGGAAAGTGACCAATGTTATAATGTGTTCCTTCTGCTGAAAACAGTGCAGTGATATGGGGTAAGTCCACAAGTTGGGTTTTTTCTTTATTTTAATATTAATATCAACCATATAGGAGTACACTGGATTGCTGTCCACTCCTTTCCTCCTTTTTTTTTAAATTTAAATTTGGGTTTTTGTCTTCTCTGACAAGTTAGAAGGCCACCACTGGAGTTGTCACAAGACAAATCTTTTCCATTGCTGGTCACCCTCACAGTGAAGAAGAGTTTTGCTGTGTTCAGCAGGACCCCTCCTGTGTTTCAGTTTGTTCCTGTTGCCCCTGGGCGCTGTGGGAGGATCCTGGTTCTGCTGTCTTTGCACTCCCTTGTGTGTTTGTGTTCCTCTGCTGGTTTAGGCCCTGTGAGCTTCAAAGGGCGCCTGCCCCTGTGTGTGACACACCCCGTGCCGTGACCCACCGGCACGTCCTGGTGTGCTTTCCTGGGCTCAGTGCTCACTGCTGCCTCTCCCCGCAGGAGATCAGCAGGCCCAACTCCCCGTCGGAGGGAGAGGGCGAAGGCGAGAGCTCGGACAGCCGCAGCGTCAACGACGAGGGGAGCAGCGACCCCAAGGACATCGACCAGGACAACCGCAGCACGTCCCCCAGCATCCCCAGCCCCCAGGACAACGAGAGCGACTCGGATTCCTCCGCTCAGCAGCAAGTGCTGCAGGCGCAGCCCCAAGCGCTGCAGGCCCCGAGCGGCTCTGCCCAGGCTGCCGCTCCCACCCCGCCGGTGCCGGCCCCGCTGCCGGCGCTGCCGCCCGCGTCCAGCGCGGCCGCGGCCCCCGCGCAGGGGTCACCGCCGGTG